CACCGGTGGCGATGGTCTATTCAGCCAACGAAATTCGAAAGCCGATATGCCGAAATCGGCGTCCTTTTTTCCTTTACTATGTCCATAAGGCACTGACTGATAAAACTGTGTACAAAGTCGAAGCTAGATTGACCCTTCAGATACCCAGATCGTTCTCATCGGCTGGGGATATAGTGCGACGAAGATTGCGGAATATACGGTTTCGGGGACCCGGGGTTCAGTCAATCGGGCTAGGTTCTCCGGGGTTCAGGCTAACTGGTTTTTGGTCAGAATCTACCGGGAAGCTTTGCATGGTCGGATCTGGGTTGGCTTACGCTCATACAGGTAATTCGCGATCACTTAATGTTATTCTTAAGGTTAATTATTCAAAGAATTCGAGTATCTATGGCAGTCTGGTTAGTGGGGTGTTAGAAAGTTTGGATGATAATGGCCACTTGGATCATTTCGAGCCAGTTTCTATACTTGGCATAGCTCATAGTAATGAGAATTATGAGTATAAATTGATAGAGAAAGGAAATAGAGATTGGTGCATGAATGAAGGAGGGAGCTTGCCTATGAATGAGGTTGATGGAGGTCTATGTTCTGTGCTTACTGAACGCAATCATATATTCAAATTGTATTATGAGAATAATTGTGATAATGTTAACTGCAATCCTCTTAATGGGAGTGTTGAGTATGTACCTAGCTTCATGTCTTTGCTACCAATTAGATGTGCTGAACAGCGCAAAATGCAGATGTTAATGTCATTTCGGAACTCAAGCAATCAAGTTAGTACATTTCTGTTCATTCCTAGCACCACCTTGGTTGCTGAGGGAGCTTGGGATGAGAAGACGAATAGTTTTTGTGCCGTTGCCTGTAGAATCTTGAATTTCAAAGATTCTTTAAGTGATGCTGTTGTTGGTGATTGCAACACTAAGTTGAGCTTAAGATTTCCTGCCTTTTTGTCAATTACAAGGATGAGTGCAATTGTGGGGCAGGTTTGGAGTGATAGAACACAGAATGATCAGGGGTACTTTGGTAGAATAGGGTTTTGGAGCCTTAGGGAATCATTGATGCGTTTTCCTGGATTAAGATATGAGTATACTCAGAATGATAGAGTAAGAAAAGCTTGTGCTAATAAGAGTAATACTAAGCGCAAGGGAAAGGCTTATGCTGATGGACATTCGCCTGACATGAGATTTCGTATGTCATGAAGAATAGCAAAGG